AAAAATTCACAACATCTCAGATGCACCCGATGTGGATTCTCAAACGCGGCAAATGTAATGGGACAGATGTGTCCGATGTGGATAAAAAAACGCTCGAGATGTAAAAAATGCATCCGATGTGGATTCTCAAACGCAGCAAATGTAATGGGACAGATGTGTCCGATGTGGATAAAAAAACTCTCGAGATATAAAAAATTCATCTGATGTGGATTCTCAAACGCGACAAAAGAATATATGAACTTCTAACTTGTCATTGTCATTTTATCACGTGACCAATAAAGTCTAGAGCGTTTGTTTGTTTATTTATATCTACATTCGATCTAATCTTCTATCACGTGATAAAAAATTCACAACATCTCAGATGCATCCGATGGGATATTCAAACGCGGCAATAGTTCAGTGACAACGAGGTGATATTTGACACTGTGGCGTCCACTCGAAATGTACTAAAGAGGAACATCAAAATTAATGTGACGATAGCCTAATTTATTTATAGTTTATTTATTTAAAACTCACTATTTACTATTTATTTATTTAAGACGTATTATTTAATTTACATAATACTTAGACACTAACTAACAATTCTAATTTATTTATTACACTTTAACTTTTCATTCCAATACTCTGAACTAAACTAAAACTATGCGCCGATACGTCGGCTATTTATATTAGTCCAACTCTGCTACTAGAAGACACCAGAGGCTCTCGAACATTCCATTTCTATAACTAATCGGCACTCTCCGCCCGTTCTAACCGTTTCTAGTGCGTCAGCGGCAGGCACATACTTTGATTTTCTTTTACTATACGGAGAATGGTCGCACTGCGCAGCTTTCTGAGTGCCTTTTAAAAGGAGATAGAAAACTCCGCCATTTTGAACCCGTATTACGTGTTGCCTACATCTTGGCGCAATATTTTTAATAGGTGCGTTTTAATCATCCGCTGCTGCTTCGGAATTGTCGGTTTTCTTGTTTTAATCTGACAGGTTAAAACGACTAAACCGATAATTCCGGAAGCAGAAGCGGATGATTAAAACGCACCTGATATTTTGCTTGCTGCTGTCAGTGTCAGTGAATATTATTTTTGAAGTCACAGTTTATTGCTAAAGAATGAGTAAGCTCACTCGGACCAGTTGAAAGTTCCAAAATAACATCCACTCCAGGGATACAAATTCAGGATACGCAAAAGACTGCTGTTTTATTATAGGCGGTTGTCATATATTGTATTATTCGAGTTGCACAGTGTATAAACTGAAACATTGAGATCAAAAGTGCCGACGCAGAGTGAGCGATCTGATTCTTTAGCTGTAAACTGTGTCACAGGGTTCAAAATGGCCGCGCCCTATGTTGGGCGTGTCGGACCTCTCTCTTGCCTCGTATAGTAATCAAAGTATGTGGCGGCAGGCATTACTGAACGTTTTGTCGCCTCGAGCACGAGTCGGTTGCCATCTGAAGGTCGCGCGTACACAGGGTAGGCTTTATGAATTTCATGACATTAAATTTAACACTTCTTATTATATTCAACTACAACGCCTTTTAAGAAAATCACTTAAAAATTATTTTTGATTAATACGCAGGCTGAAACAAATGTTCCAATAATAATTATTAAAATAGCGCGTTATTATTAAAAAATATTATAACTTATCGTAGTACGCCCGTGGGAAACGTGACGTTGAATGCACGAAATTGACAGTCTGGCGTCCAAATTGTCATGCGCATCGACCGTTTTTTCACCCCTGTTGGATCAGAAATTAGGAGTATAGCTTCATACGTGCTTCATACAACGGTATAGCTTCACATTAGTAACCTTAATATCAAGGTCGGTGGTCCGAAGGTATATCTTCTATGGGTATATCTCCTTCGAGCATATATGCTCAAAGTATATATCGGATAAACAAACACATATGTAGATGTATGCCGAGTTTAAGAATTCACATCGGATGCATCTGAGATGTAGTAAATCTTTGATCACGTGATTCAGTATACGTAAATGTAATGGGACAGCTGATGTGTCCGATGTGGATAAAAAACGCTCAAGATGTAAAAAATGCATCCGATGTGGATTCTCAAACGCGGCAGTAGTAGATGTGTCCGATGTGGATAAACAAACGCTCGAGATGTAAAAAATGCATCGGATGTGGATATTCAAACGCGGTAAATGTGTATAAAAAATAAGGAGGGAAGTAAGGACCGATTCCACCGTTGTGTTAAACGCAGTTTAAAGTCACATTTTTACATTAACAATGTCATTTTAATCTCCGTTTAACACAACGGTGGAATCGGCCCTAAACAAACTAGGGGCCGATTCCAGCGTTGTGTTAAACGAAGTTTAAATTACTAAACGAAGAATAAAATGACATTAATGTAAAAATATCATTTTAATCTTCGTTTAGTAATTTAAACTTCATTTAATACAACGGTGGAATCGGCCCTAGGTAAATAAGGTAGCTATGTCAAGCTAGCGGGCACTCTGTGGCGGCACCATACAAGACCTGGTGGGTTTTTTGTAGCTTTTTTGTTACGCTATTTGCGAATTTGTAGCTTTGCCCAGGTCCGAAAAAACAGCGGATCCGCTAGCTTGAATTTCCATAAATTCCATAGTAGCGGCACAGATTCAGACCCAGCTGGTTTTTCGTAACTTTTTTGTAGCTTTTTTGTTACGCTATCCTCCCTTTTGTAGCTTGTACTGAACCTGAGAAAAGCGCGGATCCGCTAGCTTAGCGGATATTTGTAGCGGCACCAGCCCGGACCCGGCTCATTTTTTGTAACTTTTTTGTAGCTTTTTTGTTACGCCTGTCTCCATTTCGTTGCGAGGCCTGAACGTGAGTAATAATCGTTTCTCCATGAGCGTGAGAGAAAAGTGCGTTAATTTAAAATCAAGTTTCGGCCACTACAAGTGGTATGTGCAACTCGATAGTGTGAGTATCTGTTGCTAGATGGCACCAGTATTGCATTTCATGAATTATGGCCATCTTCCATCCAATATATTTTTGAGAAATTTAGATATAATCTCAAAATCGGACATTTTCAACGGTATGTATATTAATTATTTGTCCGATATTAATGTAAAATACATATTGACAAGATTATTAAAATAGTTGTATGCCGGACGCCACTATTTTCCCGATCGGGTGTTTTCGGTTATTTTTACTGCTAAAAACTTACTGCTAACTTCACACCGGTGGTAATAGCTACCAAGCAATTACCTATTCTCACTATATACAGGCACCCCGTATAGTTCTTATCCCATAGTAATTGGAAAAATTTCCCGAAACACGTCTGATGATTTTCTTTGGGGGATATCTTTTTGACGTATATTTGAGGCTTGAACGAGCAACCCCCTATAAGAGGGCGCTTTAACCCCTCAAAATTAAATAGGAAAGAGGGGTTGGGTGATACTTCATTTGTAAGGTCCTGGAAGCCTCTTTACAACGGTGTATAAAAAAAATCACATTATTAAAAAAATAAATTGTTTTATCATGCTTACAATCAAAAAAATCAAAACTGCGTTTTTAAATGAAATGTTCAATTTGTCTTCCATTGACTTCCATGCAATAATAAATTCTCTCGAAGTAATAAATAAAAAAAAATCAAAACATTTTCTTATCTTGCCTTCATTTTTTGTTCTTAGAAGGTGTTTATCACGTTTCTTCGATCATTTCATATGATAAAACAATTAATTTTTTTTAGGAATGTGATTTTTTTCATACACCGTTGTAAAGAGGCTTTCAAGACCTTACAAATGATATATATCACTCATCCCTTCTTCCTTATTCCATTTTGAGGGGTTGAACCGCCCCCTCATAGGGGGTTGCTGGTTCAAGCCTCAAATATACGTCAAAAGATGTCCCCCAGAGAAAATCATCCGACTTGTTTCGGGAAATTTTTCCTATTTACTATGGGATAAGAAATATACGGGGTGGCTCGTCTGAGATGGAACACACTGTATAGTTGTGATCCAACAGAATTAAACACTGGTCCATAAATACTGCAAAACGAGTGGTTAAGGAAATCATTCAAAAAAGATGTAAGAATATTCTTGATTCAACAAAAGTATAAATACATAAACAACACTAAAAAACATTTAAAAACAAATGTCCGATTTTGAGATTATATCTAAATTTCTCAAAAATATATTGGATAGAAGATGGCCATAATTCGTGAAATGCAATACTGGTGCCATCTATCAACAGATAGTCACACTATCGAGTTGCACCTAATACTTGTAGAGGTCGAAAATTGATTTTAAATTAACGCACATTTCTATCACGCTCGTGGAGGAACGATTATTACTCACGTTCATGCCTCGCAACGAAATCGAGACAGGCGTAACAAAAAAGCTACAAAAAAGTTACAAAAAATGAGCCGAGTCCGGGCCAATGAACTGGAGTGGGGTAGAAAGCCAATGTGCATATTGTATCAATAAAACAAGATGCGACTCTATGGGCGCCGCCATTTTTATTTCTCATCTCACTCGGGAGTATTTATAATAACCATTTTCTGTTTCACATTGTTATTGTTCAATCCACAAGCTGGTGGATCAGACAATAACAAAGTGAAATAGAAAATGGTTGTAATAAATACTCCCGAGTGAGATGAAAAATAACCTGTCTTCGCCCATAGAGTCGCATCTCAAGCTTATTGACAAGCATTCTACCCCACTCCAGTTCATTGGTCCGGGCTGGTGCCGCTACAAATATCCGCTAAGCTAGCGGATCCGCGCTTTTCTCAGGTTCAGTACAAGCTACAAAAGGGAGACTAGCGTAACAAAAAAGCTACAAAAAAGTTACGAAAAACCAGCTGGGTCTGAATCTGTGCCGCTATTATGGAATTTATGGAAATTCAAGCTAGCGGATCCGCTGTTTTTTCGGACCTGGGCTAAGCTACAAATTTGCAAATAGCGTAACAAAAAAGCTACAAAAAAGCTACAAAAAACCCGCCAGGTCTTGAATGGTGCCGCCATAGAGTGCCCGCTAGCTTGATAGAGCCAAATAAGGTGGTCTACTTTACACTGGTACACAATGCACCAACAGCGAACGAAAGAACCTTATCTCAGAGTATAAAAACGGAACACAGCTTTTTTTGTAATTTTTCTTGTCAATTTGTCAATGTCATTACAAAGTCAAAAGTCACCCATATCAGTAGGTTAGTAAAAAAAACAATGGAAAATAAATTAAAATGCAAAATAGGGCCTTCAGTTTTGAACTCAGATCTATCTCAGTTATATCTAGAATCCCAAAAATTATTAGATAATGGAGCGGATTATTTACATCTAGATGTTATGGACGGCAACTTTGTTCCTAACCTAACTTTTGGTCACCCTGTTGTAAAATGTCTTAGAAAAAAAATACCGACTGCCTTTTTTGAAACCCACATGATGGTACAAAATCCCGAACAGGTAATTTTTTTGTTGTTTAATATTTCAGGACTTTGAGTTATTCGTTTCAGTGGATTGAACCCATGAATAATGCAGGCGTAAATTTATATACATTCCACATAGAACCAGTTATTAATGATGTAATAAAGGTATGTAGAAAAATAAGGGAATCTGGAATGAGAGTCGGTTTGGCTTTAAAACCTGGTACAGGAATTGAGGATGTAAGATGTTATATAGATCATGCTGATGTTATATTGGTAATGACGGTTGAACCTGGATTCGGAGGACAAAAATTTTTGTCAGAAATGATGCCAAAAGTACAGTGGTTAAGACACAATTACCCCTTATTGGATATCGAAGTTGATGGGGGAGTAGGACTGAATACTATAACTGCATGTGCTGAGGTAATATATTTTATTTAAATAATAAGAATAGGTTTATGAAGATCCAACCTTTTTAAGTATTTTAATAGATAAATATATATTAATAATTAAAACTTACTTAGTTTATAACCATTGTTAACTTTGGTACCTTATTTTTGTTGTAGGCTGGTGCTAATATGATTGTATCAGGTACAGCAATAATAGATTCAATTGACCAAGCAGCTGTAATGGCAAGTCTTCGAGAGACTGTGGAAAGTTCTATCCACAAATGCAACGTTTAAGTCTGTGAAAAATGTGATTCATGTTAAGTTTTATCTCCCATCTGCGTTATTGAAATGTATTCCATTTAAAAAAATACTTGTTAATATTTCAATTTTTCTTCTTTACATAGGATGAAGTGGGCCTTGCATCAATATTTAGGGTAAAAACAAAGCTCTTTTTTGACCTTCTGAAGGTATAACAAAAAATTGAAATACTGTATTGTTTCTGATTTGATCAGACATTTATATAAAATATAAAAAATATATCCAGATTTTCTATTGGAATTTTATATATTATATTATTAAAATTTCCTTAACAAGTTTTATTAGTAAAATAACGGGGTGTTGTCATATTTGATCAATATAGCTAATAATTAATAAAACTTTTTAACAATGTAAACAGCTCAAAAACATTATCTTCCAAATTTTTTATACAGTTTTGATAAAAAATACATTTTTGAACATTGTGTTCAGATGCCCATAAGGGGTTGGGGAGTACCTGTTTTTTATATTGAAAGTGTAACTTTTGTTTTTCTTATTTCATAATTGCATAACTCGTAGCTACTAATATTGATTTTTGTGCACCAGATTCATAAATTAACATTTGTTATTACATTTTTGGAGAATTCAGCTTTTTTTTAATTTTTCTTTGGTTTGTTTTCACTTTGGGGGTGAGCATGGGCGCCGCCACACGAGAGCAAGGGAGGGGGCGTCTGCACCCCATCCCTCCGGATTTATGATTTTTTTGCCATGGCTTTCGACTATAGCCCTGCAATGTTTTGACCCTGCCAATAAGACTTGTCCCCTCTGGAATTTTTTTTAACGACGTCTTGGATAGAACAAAATTTTGTAGAGGGAATTAGGGATTTTTTTTCATTTTCATTATTTCTAAAAATGGCAAAAGCTGAGCATTCTCAGCTTTTTCAATTTTTCTTTGGTTTGTTTTCACTTTGGGAATGATGGTTTAATTTTTATAATATAGGTAGGAGAATTAAATATTTCATTTTAATTTTTTCCAAAAATTTCATTTAGTTTTGGATTTAAACCGGTTTTATCACTTCCCTTTCTTTCATATTTTATTGGCCGAAACAGTTCCTTCATGCTCTATAAACCACTATAATCAAATATTATTTCGGAGATAGTTTAGCAATTTTTCCACAAATTGTGGCATGACCCTATATATTAACATAACCTCATGTTTGGTTCTGATCCTACTGATATAAAAAACTTTTTTCACAAGCAAATATTTAAAATTGATTGGGAATATAGACAGTGCAAAAAATAGAGAACAAGCGTTCCCCAAACCCAAATTTGGACAAATTTTTTTGAAAATAAAAATATTTCAAAATGATCAAAAATAAAATTGGTCGATTACAAAAAGAAAAAACATTCTTAATTTATACCCTCTATATTGAAAACTAAGTATTAAGAGCTTATTGTATCTACCTTATAATACATCAGTTTTTGAAGTTATAATTTGAATATTGTTAAATTTTCTTTATTTTGCCAATTGATAATTCTAAAATTTATTTTAAATTTGGTAAACAATTCACTCTACATCAAGCTATGAAATTTAAATCTTTGACTTAATAACTAAGGTCAAGTTTAGAATGTGATAATTATTTTAAAATAAATGTCCAATGAAATCCCGGTAGAAAATTTATTAGACAATTATTATGTAATATAAATAAAGGATACTATTAGCCCAACAGGCAATTGAAATAGAATGATAATTGCACTACTCATAAATATACAAACTCCCAATTTACTGAACTTACTAGGAATAAGAAGTCTAGCTGTTGAGGTCGGGTTGTGTAATATTGTTTTCATATCATTTTTTTTATCTCAAACAAATTTTCGTGACGGAAACAATCGTCTCTTCTGCAATTTGTATTTTTTATAGTCAGGGGAAACTTAATTTCATCATTTTTATTACATATGAAAATGAAAGTCTGAATTTTATAAAATGTTATTGTGTCATTTAATATATAAATGTAATACATCGGCAGTTCAGTGAAAGCAAAAAAGAACCTAATAAATAATAGATGAACAAATAGAGTATCATCATATCCCCCCTTGGCCTTAGACCAGCACTACTTTTAGTAGGTAGGGACTTTTATATCTTTATTATTCAACTCGTATTATTTAAGTTTCTTTATGCTCTTGGCGAAGTTCTTACCTGCATTGGAGATTTGTCTAATCTCTAAACAAATTTAATACAAAGAAGAGAAAGAAAAATCCGTTAATGATCAGAAAACCATGAAATTTGTAATTGAACACCCTATTGCCATTACGGAATTAAGGGATCCATCCATACAACCAAAAATTCTCCTAATTTCTTAGGGAAAAGTTGATTATTTTCAAATTTTAATATAGTCTGTTAAATCCATCGAGATAGATACTATGACGATGCTAAAGGGTCCACATCTTTGCATTACATTTTTACGTCATATGTCAAACTCAAGATATTGATTGTTAAATCTCTTGAAATATTTAACGCCGTGTTTTCTATAGTCCATAGGACTTTATCTTGTCATGGTAGGTGACTCTGTGTACTCAGTAAAAGAGTTCTTATACTTTTTATTATAAGGACTGAAATTATCATTTTATTTCAGTTCGCTGAAATTTCATTTGCTTTTTTTTAGGGCTACAGTATTGTTGTAGGACCCATTTTGTTAAAAATGCTTTTTATCGTTAGTACCAGGGTATGAGTATTTGTATAACATTTTGTTATTTGTTAAATAGAAAAATATTTTTTTATATAATTTAATTTAGTTGGTTTAGTAATGAGGTATATTGGGTCTAGATTTACATTTTTCTCAAAGTAAAAGAAAAAAATAAAGAATATATATATATTTTGTTTCTTTGTTTTATTTTAAAGGAAATACCTATTATGCATTACATAAAAAATAAATAGGCAAAAACAACAGTTAGGTAAAACTTTTAATCAAATTTGCTCAGTGGATCTTCCACAGTTTCCTCTTTATTTTCCTTATATTTTAAATCACTAACAATCATATCTTCAGAACTTATTTTTAAAGGCCCCTTTTCAGGATTAAGCTTAGGTCTTAAAGCAGCTAAACTTATCAAAATTGCTTCCTCTGTCCTAATAGTCTTGGAGCCTTGATCAGGAAGGGTATTCAGATAGTAATCAAAAAGTAGTTTAGGGTCATCAATATTGAGTACTTCATCATTTTCTAATGCTGCTTCAATGCCTTGTACTCCTCCAAACATAACTAGGATATGTTTGTAAGCTGGACAGGAAAATTCATCTATTGACGTGCCCTTGTCTGATGTTCCAATTGAGGTGTCATAGCTGGAAGAAATATTTTTTTTTAATAAAAAAAGGCTAAAAGATGTCTCAACTTACCCTTCTTTATAAGGACATTGTGAAAATACTTTTGATACAGAGGTTGCAATCCTTACAGTGTATCCCCAATACACACCAATTTCTTTCCTTGGAGTATTGGGAGATACAATTACTCCTTTAAGTTTCTTATTTTGTGAATTAAAAGCTGAAAGTTTAACAGTACATCTTAATCCAGGCGTTAAGCTTTTATCTGCATGCACTTCCTTAAGAAGTCCTACATTTATATAAGAACCTTCACCATTTTTTGTTGGTTTATTCAAAACTACACCCTCCCTAAAATTATGAAAAAAAATTTACTTAAGATGAGTCAAACTATTTTTATATTTACCTAAATAAAAAGTCCTCTTTGGGGCCCAAATGATGCGGTGCATTTAATGGATTCAATAATCCACAATATTTTAAATCATTATGAATAGGAAAAAAATGTTTTCTTAAATATTGGGGACATTCCAAATATTGTAAAATTCTTCCAAGTTGTATACAAGAATGCCTTGCTGATATAATACCTGTATCATTCTCTAAAGTAGATTTTTTTGCTGAAGCCTCATCTCCGTAATCATCAAAAATTACAATTTCATCTACTTGAAAAATGCATGCTGCTCTTGCTATTTGACCTGCTAAATAAGTTCGCAATTCCGGAGATTGTGCGTTTTCTAAAATAGACCCTGGAACAGCTATAGATATTGTTGATATTGGATCTGTATTTACCACATTTTCAGTTTGTTTTGTACTTTCTTCTAGAGCCTCTTTCAGTTTATTCTTTTCAATTTTTTTAACTAAATTTTGTTCTTTCCATTTTTTTCTTTCTTCCTTTTTTAATTTATTTACTTCACTCCAACTTTTATTTTTTCCAGAAGTAGGAGCCATATCACAGAATAACTACTATTAAAAGTATTCTTTTTATTTTTCTATGCTGTGGCCTGTGGCCATATTATTATTTTTGATAGGTTATTTATTGACAGGGTTGCCAACTTTTCAAGTTCCCTTTACTGACCGCGCAATTCAAATTACCGTACCGGCCTCCTAATACCGTACTCTTTTATTTTGTAGAAAAACTATGTATAAATATAATTATTTTGAGCTTCTAAAAAAGGGCAAAAAACAAAAAAGGTCAAAAAACAAAAAAAGGTCAAAAAACAAAAAACGTCAAAAAACATATTTTAATCAACATCTGATCCTTCTACCTAGCCTCTAAAAAATACCTCAATTTATGTTTTTGTAAAAACCAGGTCCTTTTAAAGAGCATGTGCTGTAAAAAAATTAAAATGACATTTTTACTTTAGACAATGTCATGTAATTTAAACTTTTTTTAACACAAGGTTCGAATCGGCCCTCACACAACTTAAAGTCTTTGCTATATTACCGTAGTTTTTATGTAAATACCGTACTTATATGTACGGTAATAGAGAGATCGGGCAAGCACCAATAGGGTCATCCTTACGCTAATTACCAACTACGTTATTTTCGAAATAACGAATGCACGCAAACGTGATTTTATCATGGATTTTATAGAGAGTTCGGGTTCGGGCGTTATATTTTCCACTCCAGTTCACTGGCACAGACCAGTGTTGCCAGAATATATTTTTGTTATGTAACCAGATCACTGAACAGTTCACTGAACCAGATTTGTCTGAGAAATGTACCAGATTCCATAAAATGTACCAGATTCTATAGATTGTACGATTGTACCATATTTATTTTTCGAATTGTGATGGTTTGGTTCATTGAAGAGCAAAAAACAAAAAAAGGCTTTTATCGAGAATAAACACAAACCAGGAACCCAACAATATATTTTACCCGTTAAATAGAAACAGACTTAAAAAGAAAAAGTACCAGATTTTGCTTCGAGTGTACTAGAGTACCAGATTATTAAATAATATACTAGAACTAGTACAATTGTACAACACTGGCAACACTCAGGAGTCGGACTTGGGTAAGTGCAGGGGCTGGTAACTCAAATGGAAAAACATGAGGTTGGTTATTTAGTACCACTCCAATTAATGGGATGGCGCTCGTATCGAAATGTCATGTCAGTTGTCAGCTCGTCAAAACTTCAAACTTTGAGAAATTAAAATGGCTATTAGGCATTCCAACCTCAGATAAATAAATCTGAGATTCCAACGACCTGTCCAAATGGCTACCAGTGGGTACTGACAGTTTAGATATGGCAACCCTGTTGTCATGTTGTCATCAATGAACTGGAGTAGGGTAGAATGCTTGTCAATAGACTTGAGATGCGACTCTATGGGCGAAGACAGGTTATTTTTCATCTCACTCGGGAGTATTTATAACAACCATTTTCTATTTCACTTTGTTATTGTCTGATCCACCAGCTTGTGGATTGAACAATAACAATGTGAAACAGAAAATGGTTATTATAAATAATCCCGAGTGAGATGAGAAATAAAAATGGCTGCGCCCATAGAGTCGCATCTTGTTCTATTGATACAATATGCACATTGGCTTTCTACCCCACTCCAGTTCATTGGTTGTAACCGAACTTCGATTTTAGTTCAAGGACGACTTACCCAAGTCCGACCAATGAACTGGAGGGGAGTAGAATGCCAATGTACATGTTGTACTATTAGAACTAGGTGCGACTCTATGGGCGCATCCATTTTTATTTTTCATCTCACTCGAGACTATTTATAATAACCATTTTCTGTTTCACATTGTTATTGTTCAATCCACAAGCTGGTGGATCAGACAATAACAATGTGAAATAGGAAATGGTTATTTTAAATACTCCCGAGTGAGATGAAAAATAACCTATCTTCGCCCATAGAGTCGCACATCAAGTCTATTGACAAGCATTCTACCCCACTCCAGTTCATTGAGTCCGACTCACGTAAGTTCTGTTTATTATAAATACGGGCCTCGGCCGAGTTCTGTTTATAAATACGGACCTAAATTTAATAACTTTATAAGAAAAGAGATCGATATGAAGATTAATGGAAATGAGAATTATCAAATAATATCCGTCCAGAATAAACTAAAAGGTTAAAAACAAGAATATTTAAATTCTATTTCATATTTTTATTAAATAAAAGTAAAAGGCAGATATAAAATATTAAAAGAAGTCGATTCATGACATGACATCTTGTCAGTTTCACTGCTTGTGTTGTTTTGGGTATTTTCGCGCCAAAAGTGGTTGATTGCTCATTTATACACATAGATATTTCACGTATAATTTCTAAAGAACAAAAATAGAAAAATGGAAACTCAAGATTTGGATCTGCATTTACGAGAGATTCAACGACAGTATTTAGACTTTTTAGACGATGAGGTAACCTTTTTAAATATTTGACGATTTTTTTTATAAAAAGTTATTTGTAGGCCGACCAAGGAAAGTATTTTCAACTTGTAAAGGATATGATAGATGATAAAAGTTACCGGTTATTAGTTAACATCAATGATATACGTAGGAAAAATTCAACAAGAGCTCAATCTCTTCTTAAAAACGCCTTCGAAGAACAAGTAGCTTTTCAGAAAGCTTTAAAAGAGTACATTTTGTCTCTCACTCCAGAGTACGCTAAAGATAATCAGGAGTTTTTCATTGCATTTGAGGGCAGTTTTGGTAATAAGCATGTTACACCTAGAACCTTGACTTCAAGGTACCTTGGCAATCTCATATGTGTGGAAGGAATTGTAACTAAATGTAAGATACAATTAATAATTCTGAGGGAATATATATATTAAAAAAATATATTAATTTAGGTTCACTGATTCATCCTAAAGTTGTAAGAAGTGTGCATTACTGTCCTGCTACTAAGAAAGTTATGGAGAGGAAATATTCTGATTTGACTTCTCTTGATGCTATGCCTTCAGTTGCAGTTTATCCAACTAAGGTAATTTTTTTTATCTAAATATTTGTACCACGCTGTCTCAGGTAATCTTGTAGTTGAAGGGTCTGGAAATGCACCATTCCTGTTCCGGCTAGTTCTTCTGACAGTTGGAAATGTTACATATAGTTGCCAGAGGTTATATTTAATTTAGAACCAGGGAATAAGCCTAATGAAATAACTATTTTACTTTTAATCATTTATTTATTGTCTTTATTTGACAAATGTACATTTGGCCAAAGAAGGCGAAGATTAGCTAGCAAGCTACTCTTAACTTTTTTGGTAACAGTCTAAATATAAATACTTATTCAAAACATATTAAAAAACAATCAGAAGAGAACAACATTCTTTAAACAAAAACATTTATAATATAATCAAAAAAAAAGGAAAACAATAATATTATTGAGTACTGAGTAGGTTTTCTTTTATGTTTAGATTAAAAATATTTAGAGGCATTCCAATTTAAGTGGTAAAACCTATTATGTAATTTAGCAGCATTATATGAGAAGATCTTTCAAACATACTAGAATAGTGCTGAGGCTTAGTAAGAGTATTATGCCTAATATTTCAATCATGAACTGAATTCCTAAATACCAATTTTTCAAACAGATAAATGGGGGTTTTCGTTTTTAACAATCTATATAAAAAGGTAATAAAGTTCAACTGAAATAAATTTTTAAGTTTTAACCACTTAAGTTGTATGAAATAGGCAGATATGTGATCAAACTTTCTCAAATTGTAAGTAAACCTGTATCTATTTACCAATTCATACTCATACATCGATTAAAAATCCCATAAAAATGAAAAAATGTTCTGAAGATTTTCAAGTAATGGAATCGTTATTTTTAATGTCAATAATACCTTTCAATAGTGATAATTACAATATTGAAATTTGCGTCAAATTCAAATTCTAGACGTCAACATCTAGATGACCCCTCAACTACAAGATTACCCTGTCTCAAGCATTTTTTGTATTTGTTATGCATTACATAATGTTTATTTATCAAAGATAATACATTAAACATTATCTCATAATCATTTAACTAGGAACTGCATTATCTTAGTGTTTTATATACATCATGAAAATAAAAAAGGTAACAAAATAACACACAGAGTTAGAGCTGTTGCGAACCATATGTATTCCTTATCTAGTAATGGTAGTCAGTGAGACTCAAAGTAATGAATCGTCACTTCAAAATAGGTTCCATTATTTGCATAATTTTATATCCGTATAATATTCGAACACATACTATAAGAGCCTTAATTGTATGTAGGATGCTAGACTACTCTCGGGACTCTGAGTCGGTTCGCGGTACTTGTTTGTTGGGTTTCTATTAGTATTGCCATCCTGTTTTTGTTATGATTTATGTGAGTTGTGATTGTTTTGTCCATAATAAAAATAAATAATAATTTTTCTTGTATGTTATGTTATAATTTATAAAATATGATGGCTTCTTTATAAAGTAGTTCTACATTTGTAATATACCAATAAGATACCAGGGTAATCAGTAATTATGCAGTTTATATTGCCATTTGTTGTGAATGCTTTGGTACCATATTTCAATATTTATTTTATATTAAAAATAAACTAAACACAAGATTTGTGATTAGCGTTAAATACCAGGGTATTTAAAAAGTTGGGTAAATACCCAAAAGTCATAAATCCCGGGTATTTATAAAAACCCTTTATTACATTTTAATGTTTTACCTTTTATTGTAATTATGTACCTACATTTAAAAAGCACATTGGCATAGTTGAATTGCTTAACAAAACCTTTTTAAAAAAGTTTTTGTTTTATTTTGGTGAACACTCTCATATAATTAGCAAGTGTTAAGTTTGTCAAGTTGAAATTTAATCGGTTTATTATTGTCCCAATTGTACTCCATCAATTATACCTTTAGCCAGTGGCCTTAAGACATGTAAGAAATAATACATTATTCTAAAAAACTATAAACCATAAAGAAAACATAAAGACTGTCACAAAAATATGAGCTACCATTTCCTTCTGAAAACAACTACTCCTTTGGCTACAACAGGCATTGTATTATATCAGAAGATTAATAGCAGAGAGAAAATAATTTTTAACACCCTAACTTTGATTTTGCTTTCTAAGGAGAAAATCATGTTTAGACCGGTTTCGTCCTTTTTAGGACTCTTCAGCAAGAAATAGATGATCTCTACTCTAGTCTCTAATGGAGTCTCTAACGGAGTCTCCAAGAGAGTCTGATGGTACTATAAAATTCGCTCGTACCCATTAACTGCTGTTGGGAGTGTGTGGATATTAAATGAGCAAAAATGGTAACAACATCTGCACTTAGGAAGCAAAATCAAAGCTCACTGTGGTACCTAGTTCTCTAGCTCTAGAACAAGGGTGAATAATAACCAGATGGGCAGTACTAAAGGAAATAAAATCCAATTCTCAAATGTGCCCAAATTAAAAATAAACCATAAAGGAAAAATACTTTTGCGTTCTGTGACAAACAGACGACAGATGTATTCGCTGCGTGCGCGACAGCAGCGCCACTTCGTTTTGGTACTAATGGACTATTTCTGTATATACTGACAAATACAATTTTTAATAGAATTCGTAAATAAAAAGTATATATGTTAGTTTTAATAAAAGTATATGGATTTGTAAAACAAGTAAAACATTAATTTATTATTATTATATATTTTTACCGCTTAAATTAAAGAAAATTATGTATAATCAATAAAAATCAATAATAAAATATAGGCAGGCAACAGTATTTACTGGAAAATGTATGAGAAGTTGCCTAAGTTTAATAAGTTGTCATTGAAGAATTAGCCTATTCTGTCAAAATAAAAAAATACCATTTAATAATAGCGTGAAGTTAAAATGTATAAAAAAGGATCGTTATTTATATTTTCATTTTTGTTTGAAAGAAAACAGAATGAATGATTAAAAATGGTTTCCCATCAGTAAGTTACAAAATTGCATTCCACCCACATCAAAGGTAGAAATCTTGAAATCTAGTCCTTGCTGAATGAACATTTAAGAATAAAGGGATATTAAAGAACATCGTAAAATGATAATTTATTGTTTATTTAAAACCTTTCAAGATTCTGATGTCTACTATTTCCAGCATTACTGTTATTATTACGAAAATAAAGGTAATTTTTCTTCTTATTGTACACCTATCCATTTATTATTTTGATTTAATTTCCACTTTGCTACTGAATTTTTTTATATAAGTTTCACTGTTTTTTTTGCTAGTATTTGTACAATTTTCAACACAGCAACTCCGGTTGCTTATTGTATTGTTTTTACATACTTTTTTGAAAAAAAGTAAAATGTATACGTGTATTTGATATGCCAAAATTACAAAATATCGCCCTAAAATGCACTAATTATCCGCAGCTAGCGCTAGTATCGCTTTTGCTTCCCTTTCCATGACTTCGCACGGAGCGAATAAAAGACACCGTTCATAACAGCCTACATGAAAAACACCAACAGCAAGCTGAGTTCATCATACCCTCGTTTTGGGTATTTATCGGAACTTTGGGTAAATACATCTGAGTATTTACCCGGCCCACATCTCTATTTGTGATTAGGCAGGTGTGTTTTAAACATTTTTAATTAAATTAACCTGAATAACTTCCGTCTATAAAAAGTATAAAATGAACAATATTTCTTTGAAAAAGTGTCAGCGCATGCGAAATCCAGAGTTGCAAATACTTATATTCAGTACCGATACTAGAATTAAACAATCTTGTAACGAATAGTCCAACCATGTGTACAAAATTGATACGCGTATAAATTTAGTCGTTACTTCCATAGCTCTACACAGAGTTCATTACAATTCAAATTTTTCTCAAATTTCAATTGATAGTTTTGATGCAAAATAAAAATACAAAAATGGCCTTACACCTATGGTTAGATAGATTATTTTTATATTGATATCTGAATGATCATAGAATGGTCACAAATATTTAAATGAATTCTAGGTTGTAGGTACTTTAAAATGTAGACAAATGAATTTAACAAATTGTAATATTTTTAAAACTTCTCATAAACTTTACCGTTGTATTTACTGTATATATGTAAATACATATACAGCATTTACACAATTTAAACTACTGCAGAATATTGCAATCTATGAAAAATTCATTTTGTTGATTCAGAATTTTATCAAAAATCCTATTTATTAGAGGTGAGAGTAGCTATTTGCTCCGTGCGCGACAGCAGCGCTAATTCACTTTTGTACTAATGGACTATTTCTGCCTATACTGACAATACAATTTTTAATAGAATTCCTAATTAAAAAGTATATATGTTAGTTTTAATAAAAGTATATGAGTTTGTAAAACAAGTAAAACATTAATTTATTATTATTATATATTTTTATCGCTTAAACTAAACCAAAATAAGTATATTCAATAAATATCAATAATAAAATAAAGGCAGACAACAGTATTTACGGGAAAATGTATGAGAAGATGCCTAAGTCTAATAAGTTGTCTTTGAAGTTAAATAATTATTAACGTGAAGTTAAAATGTATAAACAAAAGAATTGTTATTTATATTTTCAATTTTGTTCGAAAGAAAGCAGAATGAATGATTAAAACTGGTTTTCTATCAGTAAGTCACAAAATTGCCTTCCAGCCACATACAATACAATAATCAAAGGCAGAAATCTAATTCTTGCTGCATGAAAATTCAATATTAAAGGGATGTTGAAGAACATTGTGAAATTATATTTATTGTTTATTTCAAACCTTTCAAGTTTCTGATGTCTACTATTTCCAGTATTACTGTTATTATTACAAAAATAAGGATAATTTTTCTTCTTATTGTACACATCTCCATTTATTTCTTTGATTTAATTTCCACTTTGCTACTGAAAATTTTTTATAATTTACACTGTTTTTTTTGCTAGTATTTTTACAATTTTCAACACAGCAACTCCGGTTGCTTATTATATTGTTTTTACCTACTTTTTGAAAAAAAAGTAAAATGTATACATGTATTTGATATGCTAAAATTACAAATATCGCTCTAAAATACACGAATTATCCGCATCTAGCGCTAGTATCGCTTTTGTTTCCCCTACCATGACTTCGCACTGAGCGAATATGTGAGTTATTGGGATTGAGTAATGAACAGTGAACACATTAAAATAACTCTGTGAGAAATAAAGGACTTTTCTTCCACCACCTTACTCAATCCTATTTATATTTAAAAAGGGATTTTTTTTACAAAAACACTAAAAGTTTTATAATTATTCTAGATCTCAAGAAAATCAGTTTTAGTGTGCAAAATATTATTTTTAGGTCCTTAACCCATGATTAAAATATTGGCAATTTCTTATGAAATATGTTAAAAAAGGTGACCTTTCTTTGTCATTTCACATTTATGGCAGTTCGTACACGAAAATTTAACACAGGCAAACGAATGAAGGATCTTAGAATTTATTCTAGTACCAGCTAGGCTTGGCGTCCTTCTATAAAATGTTGCAAGGGTGACTTTAAGGATAATTGAGAGAACTGGGGGGCAGGGAGGAGAATGTTTGTGTGCTGGCGAGAGTCGGAAACTGATTACTTTAAATCTACAAATTCGACTGTCATAGCTATGTGCCCCGATGGTCCAATTGGCAAAGGCACCGATGGTTCAAGTCAGAGGTTCTCAGCATTTTCAATTTTTCTTTGATTTGTTTTCACTTTGGGGATACGTTTATTAATTTCATAGGGGATTATATTTTTACATTTCCAAAAATTTCATAAAAATATGATGCTTGTAGTGATGCCATTTTAATCAAGATATTTTTTTTTATTACACTAAAACCTTAAATACATTCTAAAGGATGAAGATGGAAACCCACTTGAAACTGAATACGGTCTATCTTCCTACAAAGATCACCAGACTATTTCCATTCAAGAAATGCCAGAGAAAGCTCCAGCTGGTCAGCTGCCCAGATCTGTGGATATTATTTGCGATAACGATTTGGTAGATACATGCAAACCTGGAGATAGGATACAAGTTGTTGGAAATTTTAGATGTATGCCAAGTAAACAGCAAAATTACACAAATGGTACATTCAGGTTAGTTAAACTTAATTAACTTCGAATAAAAAAGTTAATGTATTAAAGAGATAATTTTGTTTTCATTATATTTTAGGACAATTGTAATTGCTAACAACATATCTCAACTAAGTAAAGAGGCAACACCATCTATAACAAGAGAAGACGTTGCCAGATGTAAGAAACTTGCTAGATCCAAAGAAAACATGTTTGAGTTACTTGCAAAATCTCTTGCACCATCCATACATGGTCATGAGTACATCAAGAAAGCCGTTTTGTGTCTTTTGCTTGGTGGAGTTGAAAAAGTGTTACCTAATGGTACCAGACTCAGAGGTGACATAAACGTACTTTTAATTGGAGATCCTAGTGTAGCCAAGTCACAGCTTTTGAGATATGTGTTACATACTGCACCAAGGGCAATCCCCACTACAGGTAACCATTAGTGGTAATATAATATTGGCAAATTTAAAGTTTCTTGATATTAAGCCAATGCTTTCACATTTTCAAACATGTTATAGTCTATCGACCTTCGCCCATCTGTTTAATGGATAAAAGTTTTTTTTTATTAAATAAAATATGTTTATAAATATATCGCAAATGGGTTGCCTAAGATAATACGGTAATATCTGTATACAGAAAGGAAAGTAAAAAATGTCTGTGACCGTATTTTCTTAGGCAACCCATTTGCGGTATATTTATAAACATATTTTAGTTAATAAAAAAACTTTCATCTGTTAAACAGATGGGCGAAGGTCGACCTTACTTCGGATCCTGTACTATTACACAATAAAAGAAAATACAGATTTTACTTCAGTTCCATCAGTGCCATTTTCAGAGACTCTTATATTTTCATAATTTGCAGTAAAAGAAGTGTCCTAAAATTAAATATCTAGATGCAGCAAAAAATGCAGGTCCCAAAGGTGTACCCACCATCCCTATTAAAGAGCTTCTGTCACTTACTTTCTTTGTCTAATTTTTCAAAAAACGTTTGATAGTGGTACATTTATTACTGTGTTGAAATTCTCTAACTTAGTGCCAATTTACTAGAAGAGAGACAAAACACACAAAAACACAGTGTCATTTCTATGATTTGACAATACCTAAATTATTTAAATCCATTCTGACTCATAACAACATGGATTCTATCAAGGATGCTCAACTGCAACAAATCTTGGTGTATATCAGGAGTACTTACTCTCATCTCTCTAAGCTTATCTATACATATAGACTGGTCTATAGCTTTTGACAGTATTTTCCTAAAAAAAACTAGTATAAATTGATATTTCAGGTAACTATTTTAATTGGTTCAACTCTTACCCAAGTCATTGCTCTCGGAGTATCACCATGAAAAAGTCGGTCTCTATCAAGTATCACTGATGTCCAGTGTTTCACAGGGATCTCATATTGGAACTGTTTTATTTTTATTATTTCTGAATGACCCAACAGTTTGTTTTTTAAACAGTGACTGCCTGTTATTTGTAGACGACCTTTATGTTTTTTTAGCACAAATATTGGTCCTTAATTACTTCACTATGTGGTGCAAACAAAACCATCTGTCCATAAATGTTAATAAACGTGCTACAGTTCACTTCAAAAGATGTCCCAACCCTGTTCAGATCTCTTACAAGGTCGGTAATGTGACACTAACAATATCTGCTGCTGTCCACAAATTTTATCAAAAGGCTTATCCATAATTTTACTGAAACAACAAATTAAAGTTCTTTATTGTTCGCTAGTCAAATCCCTCCTTGGCTATTACTTTTCTGTTTGGTATCCACACTATATAACGTATAGTACCATAGATATAGTACAACAAGTATTACAAATTAAAAATTTAAAAAAACCGACTTCAAAAACGTGCAGATGCCATCACCACATTTTAACCAAATTTATATGGGACCACCCCTGAGGTACCCCCTTACTAACAAAAAAAGAATCGTATAAATCGGTCAAGGTGGTAAAGCATTATCGCTAAACATACATAAAAAATGAAGACTTTGAGGATTTTCTCATGGATCCAATTATTAGATTTTGACCAAATTTATATGGGACCACCCCTAAAGTAGCCCCTTTCTAACAAAAAAAGAATTATTGAAATCGAACACCGTGTTAAAAAATTATCGCTGAACATACATAAAAAATGAAGAGTTTGAGGATTTTCTAATGGACCCAATTATTAGATTTTGACTAAATTTATATGGGACCACCCCTGAAATACCCCCTTTCTAACAAAAAAAGAATCATTGAAATCGGACACCGTGTTAAAGAATAATCGCTGAACATACATAAAAAAAAAAAAAAAAAAAAAAAAATATCGCGACGAATTGATAACCTCCTCCTTTTTTGAAGTCGGTTAAAAATAGACAGTGTCCAGCACAATTTTCTCAGAGAGGTAGCCTTTAAATTGGGTGTTTATTGTGAATATGACTTCATGGAACAACTTTTAAACATCACCTCCTTGGTGAAAACAGAGAAACCTTCCTTTGCCAGTTAATATCAATGGTAGGTGCAATTGTCCTACACTTCTTGCAAAAATAAATCTTCTCATTCAAACTCGTTTAACTAGGCAACTACAAACATTTATATGCCTTTATAGTTTAAACGAAACTTTTAACAGCTGCATTCAAAGAATGCTTAAATTAGCGAACTTACAAAATTATCTTTGGCAGTTAAATATTCCCTCTTCATCATTCTAAACCCAATTACTTAATACTGAGCTTTAATGTTAATGTTCTTACGGTGTATTTTTAACCTTCGACTCGCTTTTTTTATTATTTTTGATATTTAATTTTAAAATTGTAATTTAATTGGGCTTGCCTGTAAATAAATAAAAAATTGGCAAACTCATCTTAAAAACACAGTACCTCAAGAATATATTCTGCACTGCAGGCTTTTAATGTGCTCTGTAATACGGAAACCAAATTATAGGTGCATACTTGTAATACATACTTTATATAATATACTAGGAATTTTTTTTCTGTAATGTGTTAGTAAAATAAATAAATAAATAAACGTTTTAATAGGCAGGGGTTCGTCTGGTGTTGGTTTAACAGCAGCTGTAACTACAGATCAAGAAACTGGCGAACGAAGGCTAGAAGCAGGTGCTATGGTTCTGGCTGACAGAGGTGTAGTTTGTATTGATGAATTCGATAAAATGAGTGACATTGACAGAACAGCTATACACGAAGTTATGGAACAAGGGAGAGTAACTATAGCTAAAGCTGGAATTCACGCTAGTCTGAACGCTAGGTGTTCTGTTTTAGCAGCTGCCAATCCTGTATATGGCAAAGTAAGTAAAAATAACATGAATAATATTTGTTATGATTTATTGGTATTTTCTTATAGTATGACCAATATAAGACCCCAATGGAAAATATAGGTTTGCAAGATTCGCTTCTATCTCGTTTTGATTGCCTTTTTGTCATGTTAGATACAATTGATGAAGATCATGATTTGAAAATATCTGATCATGTAGTCAGAATGCATAGATACAGGTGAACAAGTAAAACAATATAATTTGTTTAGTGAATATTAATAATTATATAATTTTATAGAAATCCATTAGAACAAGATGGAGAAGTATTACCTATGGGTTCAAATGTTGATATGTTAAGTACAATGAACCCTGACGAAGAAGACGAGAAAGAAACGCCTGTGTATGAAAAATATGATGCTTTATTGCATGGATCAAGTCGTCATCGATCAGATAAAATTTTAAGTGTTGAATTTATGAAGAAATATATTTATTTTGTTAAAATTTTGAAACCTGTATTAACAAAAGAAGCATGTGAAATAATTGCTGATGAATATTCTAAATTAAGATCAGAAGATCTTTTAGAAAGCCACACTGCTAGGGTAAAAAAATATCAATAATTATTAGTAATGAATTATTATACATATATTTTTAAATCTTATTTTAGACCCAACCAGTGACTCCTCGTACTTTAGAAACCATGATACGTTTAGCAACAGCACATGCTAAAGCTAGGATGTCAAGACAAGTAACTAGTGAAGATGCTCATGTAGCATTAGAACTTATACAATATGCTTATTTCAAGAAAGTATTGGAAAAGGAGAAAAAACGTCGAAGACATGATAATGACGATTCCGAGAATGAAGATAATCAAAGGCAGAAACGGACTAGAGCTGAGGTAAGTATTTTTTAATTGCTCATATTATATTTCAGGCTACCTTTCTTTATGAAATAAAAATCTAGTTAAAATTAAATAACTTTATTCATCAATCAGTAAATAATAATCGCAAAAAATTTAACAGACAATAATTATATACAAAAAGGCCTTGCCAAAACATTCCCATGAGTGGCATGTCAAGACACCTTCTCCAAAACTAAAAGGTATCTTTACTTCAGATACTTTTCAGTTCAACAAAAGGAGAACTATGCAGTAATAGTAATCAGTGACAAATTCATACTTATTAAATATTTGCTGATTTTGCTACTTTACTTTGACCCAGTTAGTGCAGGTCATGTTAATAGCTAAATGTTTATCTTTTTATTCTGAAATGTGTACAATATTTACTTATGGATATATTTGCATTTAAAAAATTATTGAAGATTTTGTGTTTATTCTAGGATTTATTTAAAGTGTAATAATTTATTTAACTTATTTTAATATTTTACTGGGCGTGACAATATATATGATCATATCACAATTGCTTCATTCATTATGGTGCTTAATTGTTTTATTTTTTAGACTGATGCAGGTGAAGATTCAGAGGAGGAAATAATATCTCAAAGTTCAACAAGAAGCAGGTCAACAGTTTTAACAGGAGTCGAACCAATGGATGATCAAAGTACAAATACAAATGGTTTAAATGGTCATACAAACGGATTTTCCCAAGAATCAGAACATATGGATGTTGATGAAAGTCCTAAAGAAATTTCTGATGAAAGGTAATTAATTGGTAATTTGATGTTATGGTTGGTGAATAAGTTTTTAACGTATTGTAAGATTGTTGATATAACCTTTCTTGTTATTTAAACTTTATGTTTAATATTTCTCTTATTTCTTTTTTAAGGTTTTCTTCGTTTAAGACTAGTCTTCAGCACGCCTTTAGGGAAAATAGAGCTCAATCATTGGGCTTAAGTAGAATTAGAGATTTTGTAAACACTGATACTGCTGTTCCATACACTCAAGGAGAAATCAATGCTGCCATAGAGAAAATGACAGATGCCAACCAAGTAATGTTGGCTGATGGTATTGTATTCTTAATCTGAAATATTAAGGAAGAATGTAGTTGATAAGTTACTTTATTATTTAATCAAGTTGTATTGATGTTTCTTTTTAATTTTCTTTTATATATTTTTAAATTAAAGTAGGTAATAAAAACATTCTTTTGTTTTGTATTCCTATACTGTACTTATTTTTTCCGATCCTGATTGCTGTTATATCTCGTGAGTGGTTAGGAAGTTGAAATACATTAAATAATGGCAGACTGTAAAAATAATAGTGGTATTTTTTTAATTTGATTTTAATCCCCAAAGGAAAGCATGTAATACTATAGTAGGTTTTCCTAAAAATAATAACCTATAAGTATACTTATTTCAACCAGTCACTACTGAGTTCTAATTAATTTGGTATTTAATTCTTTATAGTTTACATTTAAATTTACAATTTTTTACAAACAATTTAATATAATTTACCAACCTGACATGCACGTAAGTGAGTGAACACTTGTCTAGGCATTATCTTTCTAAAAGTTGATATATCATGATTAACAATTTTTAATGTATGATTTCTCTTAATTGATAAAATTTATGAATTAGTTTCCGAGCTCTCTTTATTAGATGCGTTATATGTTCATTCCATTTTAAATTTTTGTTAATAATCTCAAAGTATTTGATATTAGCAACTTCATTTATTTCAACAATAAGTTGTCAATGATTATGTTTTCAAAGTTAGGTCTATTTGCCGCATATATGATTTTATGTCACAATCAGCATCTAGATTCAGTAAGGAGTTTATATAGATTATGAACAAAACATGTCCGAGAACTGTGCTTTGGGGCACACCTGCCCTGACTATTTGCAGCAAGAATTAACCTTAACGAATTGTTGCCGATTACTCAAATAGCTTTTAAAAGATTTAATACAGTGCCACGAATTCCATGACGTTCAAGTATTTGTAGTAATTTTCCATGGTATATGATTGTCTGAGATTGGTTTAATGACCTCGTACATAGCGTCTGACGTACTTTTACCAAAAGCTTAACCTTGATGAAATCAATGAGACGTTTTTTAAGATATTTTTCTGCAGCTCAGTGGTAAAGAAATTAATTCGACGTAGGAGTTATTACAAAATTTGAAATTTTAAAAAATTGAGAAACTAGTAATCAGGAATACACGTTTCCACTTTGAAGCCAGTAGAGAAAAGAGACGAGAATAGAAGTTGGGATACAAAGAGGAGGTTTCAAAGACAGTATTTTGAAAATTATTCGAATTTTTCTTATAATTTCAATAGAAAATAATGAGAATGTTATACTGGTATTATTGAATGATATAAAACTATTAGACACGATTGCAGAAGTTTGATATAATCAATGAAAAAGTGGTTGACAGATATAATTTTCCAAAGGTAAAGAAAAATATTAATTTAGAAGTCTAGCGGGAATAAGATTCTATTATGAGTCTAGAATCAAATTAAATATAAATGGAAACGAAATAAATCCAGCAGAGTTGGGTCGGATACAGGAAAAAAGTATCCGAGTACCGGATACGGATACTTATAATGTATCCGGATACTTTTTAGGATACTTTCACCTAAAAAGTACTCGGATGCAAGTATCCGGATACTTTTAAAGTGAGTTAAAATAATGTTTTCATACCAATAATTATACTTATGCAATACGATTGATTACTTGTAACAATACTAGGCATAAATAAATTATCGAAAATGGAAGGCGATATAATAGAAACAGAAAAAACCTACTCAATAAATTATTATTTTTATTCTGTGAATATAAAACCTTAAAACAAAATGAATAATAAAACATAAAGGTGCGTAAATAAAGCGAGTCGCGCCTAAACCGCGCCAAAAACCAGCCAGTGTCGTGTCTATATAAATCTAAAGAAATTCTATATATCGAAATTTTTATTCTTAATATTTTTGTTATTTTAAACTGATCTGCCAAGATAAAAATATATATTTTTTAATTATTTTTTTTTTTTTAAAAACTGGCTCCCGATAAATCTATATAATGACATTATGTAACCATTCCTAAAATTTCAAATTTATTTTTACTTTTTTAAAATTACTTTAAAAATGGATTTTTAAAATAATTTTAAATGTTAATAGAAAAAGTAGAAATTTTAAATTTCAGGAATAGTTAGATAATGTCATTATTTAGATTAGTGGGGAGCCAGTTTTTTAAAATTGAGCGTAATTAAAAAATATATATTTATCTCGGCAAATCAGCTTAAAAAAAATTATTATAGAGTTTCGTGTAAAATGTGAAATTTTTTTTTATTTAAATCGCTTGAGAAATATAAATCAAGTATTTTTAAGGGTATTACTTCCTCTTAATGGATCAGTTACGATTGTGGTAAATAGTTTAACAGTATCCGAATGCCGAAAAAAGTATCCGGTATCCGGATACTTACAAAATTTGGTCACGGATACGGATACCGGATACAAAATTTGAAAAGTATCCGGCTACAGCTTTCGGATACACATAAAGTATCCGGATACAGAAGTATCCGGATACTACCCAACTCTGAAATCCAGTTATTGTTGAAAATATGTTATTCGATATTATAATAGGTCGAAAAACGCTAAATTATTTGGAGGTATTCCTAAAAAAAATTAAATATATAAGGTAGTATAAGAAAATCATTCCCCAATGTATTAAAATATAATGATAGTAATCCAAGTATTAATACAAATTTCAATTTGAAAGAATGTGCCAAAATTGAAACCGTACATTCTTTAGAAAATAAAATCTGGATAAGACAAAAAATTAAAGAATTAATTAAAAGAGATTATTAAAAAATTGATTCTGTATGCCTCATCTTGCGTACTTCAGATGAAGGCTGGTGGAAGCTACAGATTTTGCATAGATCAAAGAAAAATTAATGAAGGAACACGTCTAGATCCTTTTCCGTTTCCCATGATTATTATCGAATCTTTTGGCGGTTGTAAATATTTTTCAAAAATAGATTTAAAAGGTGGATTTTGGAACATAATGCTATCAGAAAATACACGGCTTTTATAACTAAAGAAGAACATTTTGAATTTAAAAGATTACCTTTCGGATGGAAGAATTCAAGGATTCCAAAGATAATGCAAGAAGTCTTTGGAGAATTATTGGGAAAAAAGTTTTAGTGTACATCGACGATATCATTGAGAATCATATTTAGACGAATGTCAGTAAAACACTCAACATTTTAAAGAAATTGAATGACAACAATTTTAAAATAAATTTGAAAAAGTGTATATTTTGTTTAAGAAAAGTTATATTTTTAGGAAGAGAAATAGACAGTAATATAAACAGAATGAAAAAAGAAACAATAGGAAAAGTACAAGATATGAAGAGACCAACTTACCTAAAATCTTTACAATGTTTCACTGGTCTTACAAATCATTTTAGAAGTTTAATTAAGGATTATAGTAATATTGCCAAATCTTTAGATGAATTGAAATCAAAAAATAAAAAAATTATTTGGAGTGAAAAATGTGAAGCATTCCAAAATTAAAAAAAAAAAAATTATCACTTCAGAACCGATTCTTCGATTACCAGATCCAAAATTAAAATATTGTAACGTTTATTTAATTTATTTATTTAAAACACTTTATTTACAATTTACTTATAACGTACTAAATAATTTATATAATACTTAGGCACTATTATAATTCACAATTCTAATATATTTATTACAATTTATCTTTCCTGTCCAACACTTAAATTGAATCTTCCCGTTCGTTCGATTCACGTCCCGGTACCAAAAGAGGACGTCCCTCGGACGTCCTTTATGTCCCTGAATGACGTCTTTTAGACGTCCGTGTACTATGTGGGTTATATAAAGCCAGCTCTGTACCAGAACTTTCTCAGCTTTCCAGAACGATCGAAAACTGGCTCTCATGAGTCATAGGGATCTGTACGGTAGCTTCTCAAAGCGGTGTGTTTGTCCTTTTGGATATATTTAGAAAATAAACATTTTGTTGTTCACACTGATCACAGAACTGACTCAATTTTTAAGTAGCGCAAATTGAGAGATCGTTTGGCAAGCTGGCAATTATTCTTATCCAGTTTTGACATGAAGATAAATCATAAGGTAGCCAAGATTTCAAAATTATGTATTGATATTCCGAATGAAGCAAATATAATATCTTTTGGTGTAATTTAATGGTGGATGATCTAAAGAGATTGGAAGATGGCAAATATTTAGTCTCCAAGAATGGTAAAAGAAATTTTAATGACGTATCATGATGATCCTAATTCAGTAATTTAGCTGGACATAATGGTTATTATAATGATAAAAATTTCTGAATAACCTACATGTATTGTAAGATAATAAAAATATTTTAAACAATATTAACTTCTCATTTATTCAATAAAAGAAAAAAAATTGTTTTCTTATCGGTCACCACGCTCAAAAAGTGTAACTTGAATTAATATCAAAGAAAAAAAATACTGCATAAATAAAATAAATAAATAATTATAATTGCATAAGTTGATAAAAAATGCTATGCAATAGCTTTACCGTGTGGCAGTCCCCGAGTGCCACACGTATTTTATTTACAAAAAAAAAGCAGGGTGAGCATATTATTATTTGATTTTTTTATCAGTTTCTAAACACCGACGACTTTTTTTTTGCTCCTCAACCCAGAGATAAACATAGAAACTACTAGAATACCTTTTTTTAGCTCCCCAGTCTTACTTTATTACTTTTGCTCGATAATAGTAGCATTTAGCACATATTTTAACCTCTGCGGCACATGGTCCTCTGAGACCCCCCACGAAATGCTATGCATATGGTCAAACTAAATAAAAAAAGAATAAAAAAGAAAGATCAAAAAAGTTTTATTCAAAGATACGTGTGAATGGAATAGAAAGAAGAACTTATAGCAGGAAGGAGAATTCGTCAGAAGGAGGAGTACTATAAGAAAGTAGAGGAAAACAGCAAGAGGAGATCAGGCAGGAGAACAGGAGTTAAAACAGAAGAACAGAGAGCAAAAAGAAGAAGCAAAATTTTTATCGAATATTATTTTTAGTTATTTTTTTGGAATTTTTGTGGGGAGCCAAAGGAGCCATATCCCTTAAAGCTCTAGGATATTGGTTTTAACATTTCCAAGATGGAATCAATATAATATATATGCGCGCGTCGGTACTCATACTCGTTACTAGTCAGCTGAAGGAATAAAAGTACTGAATACTCTATAAAGTACAAGAAATTTTTTTGAGTATGAGTCCCATCAGGATGAAAGTACTTACGAGTACCAATTACTGAGTACTTAAATACAATTTTGAGTACAATTTACTCGAGTACTCTGCCCAGCTCTGTGTACCTTAGAGGTAAGGATGAATCGTATCTCCAGATTTTTATTGAGTGAAGTGCATTTACTAAAATACCTGTAGCTTGTATTTTTTAGTGATAGAAAATGGTATCTCTGTACCTATATAAGAACGACTTTATTTTGTTATAGTTTAGAAAAATTAGTATTTTTTTAATAGGGAAAAAGTCAAATTTCTAATTTTGAGGCCTCATTTTCTCCAAATATATTATAAGATTGAAGATTATATTCTTTTCGCTCTATATAGTAGTTTTGTCGCCGTATAAATATGAGGATTATTCGATAACTACGTTGCCTAGCAAAGAAAAAGCAGGCAGTTTCCGAAAAAAAAACTTTTTTCAATTATACTCGCCCAGCACACTTATTGTAGGTCGATGAATCTAAATCCTCGAAATAGCTATTTACAGCAGTAGTTTCCTCGGAATTGGACGAAAATCTCTTACTGCCGAGCTATTTTTTCAGGATTAGAAACATAATATATGATAGGACTCAAATCTGGGGAATAGAGCAGTTTTTGGACATTAATTACAGGTTTTATTCGTGTTCATAAGATCACGCTTAAATTCGGAAACCCAGTTTTTAAACATTGAAAACGAATGAACGAATTCCAGTAGTGTGCATACACGTTCTCGCAACAGTTTAAGCAGTTATCTCCCGGTTACATCGTGGATGGAAACGGCTGGGATGTTCCATCATGGGATTTAGCCGACTAGCGTATAATCATTGATGATATTGTAACCCACCGCACCTAGGTACCTTAATAATTTATTAATTCCATTTTATTAAAGAAAAGTTGCATTCTTATTAAATTCAAAATCCTTCATTTAACGAAAAATCTCCCAGATAATTAAATCTTATTTACGACACCTGATAAATAATAGCTATAACCCCGCCGTAAGAGATACAATTTCTTGCAAGTATCTGGGAACTCAATCTAAAACCATCATACAACATAAGTTGTCACAAGGTAATAATTATTAAAACTTTTAACGCACTTATCTTAAGTCAGTTTGAATAGGAACGTTATTTTCGATACACAAACTTTTCAAAGCAAGTAATAAATCAGCCAACCCCTATCCGCCCAAATTCGTTTACATGAGAAACTGACGTCACAAAAAATAATTAAATCTAGTATAAAGATTAGATTTAAGGGGACTCGAAAGGCATTAAGAAATCAGACTCAGTTTAGTTGATTTCGAGCTCCAGTCGTATTATTCTTCAAATCTAGTATAATTCAAGTTCAGTACCTTTCCTAAACCCACGCAGTTCATATCCTACCTTTATGTGACGCTCTTTAGCTCGACGACCTACCTCCCGAACGTTTCCATGTCATCTCTTTTATCCGACGCCCAATATCTCATCTGACGCCCTACGTCTCTACCTTTCTGCGTTTGACGTTCTGCGTCACGTCGCTCTATCTCCGTCACACCGCTCTAAATTTCGACGCCAACGTCTCAACGTCCCTGCTAACTATCCCGACACAAGATAACGCTTCCGACCGAATACAAAAATATAAAATGTCTGAAATAAAAACAGACGATAATATACACCCAACGGTCTGCATATCCGGTGAGTTAATAACTTAACAACCAAATTAAATTTGTAAAATGGGAATTTATTGTTGAATAATAATGAATATTATTGTGTTACTCATTATTGTTCAATAATGGTCAACCTTTACATTTGAGTAATTTGTTGCTCGCCGATATCGCATTTAGCTCGTCCAGATGTGTATGCTATGGGCCATATTGCCTTCAAATTAATATATCCCCTAAAAGATAAGAGTCTGGCTACCGAACTGTCAATGAACCCTCGCAAATATCTACTAAATAACAGCTCAGCTGATTGGGACTAGACTCACATTTATCCGAATATAATAATAATAATACTAATACTCTCCCGAATTCACCCCCTTACGAGTGAATTTTAACCCCAAAAGCTGAGCTTATGCGGGGAAAGACGACTGTTATTATTATTTGCCGTGGCGCTCCGGGGCGACTTAAAGATGATTGATGGTGTCATTTGACTTACAGGTGAGGAAAACCCGGAAAACCTCACCCACCATCATCGAGACGGTAATTCATGGCGATTTTTATAATATGCATGTCATATCAACAGAAATTGAATTTCTATTAATACGGCACACATCAAATCCTATACCGAACCATGAAATTTAATTAAAAATCCACATGGTCTGGTCTGGAATTCGAAGCCATAAACTTGCCTATAAATGAATATAAGCACGTTAGACTGCTACACCACCGACCCGATTGATGTTACTACAGAGTTGGACTATCTTATACAATTATCTCTCAATCTTCGTACCGTAGGTAGATCTGAACATAAGGGGTAGTTCGGTGGTATTGAACTAGCACATTCTAGTAGGACTACACTACATAAACCCCCGTGAGGCTGACTGTATCTCAGTAAGCGCACCTATATAAAAAAGAAAACGACGAAACAAAGAATTGTTAAAGATAGTGCAATTCTGAGGACGTCTGCTGTCTATTCTCAAGAATTGTTTTTATTACATATAGATGATGGCAAGTGGCCTGTTTGTTTGGGCGGGACCATGTGAGATCTAGGTGAGATACAATTTCTCATTACCCAATATTAAAAGAAATTTTGTACATACTGAGTTTATTTGAGAACAAAAATAAATTAAGTTAAATATATTTGGAGCATTATTTCATTCACAAATTTGTACCAAACTTTGCATCGAATCCTGGTTTATCTTAATTAACATTATCACAACGTGTGTATATAAATTATTATATAATTAACTAGACGATCACTACACTACTAGAGGAAAAGGCCAAATACAGTAAGTATGAATTACTTTGAATTTTACAAGGGGAGGGAGGTAGTTAAATAAAAATACGGGCTTTTAATTATTAGCTACAAGACCGGGGGGGGGGGGCGGTTACAACCTGAAATGAATGATGGTGTGTTAGTGAATGGGAAAGTAATAGGACCGTCAAATGGTGGTACAGTAATAAGCTACCACGCTACAAAAGCTTGAAAAAATATTTGAAATAAAAATTCGTTTGAAAAATTAAAATCCATTACAAATTAACGTAAATCCATAAACTGATAAAGCGATGAAAACACCTGTTCCACATATTTTACACAAAATAATTGGTCGCAGTGTCAAAAAGGTCAAACGACCCCACATATTACTCTACAATTATATTTAGGTTATTTAATTTTGCTAACAATTTATCAAACTGATAAATGTTGAATGTGTTCTCTTTAATTTGGAAGAAAAACCTTATCTGGGAAGTTGTTTTGTTTTGAAACCGATAAGAATTAATATTACTGGCATCTTTTTATATAGTTAGGTATGTAACTGTGATAGTTTGATTTGATTACATTTCTAAACGTGAATGGTAATTTTTAAAGTGAAATTTATAAACAATCGGGTGTTATTCATATTTATGCAGAAATATCAGCAAATGTAAAATATTTAGAGGTAAATTGTTTTTATATTCCATTATATTTATCTATTTTTTTCTAGTTAGGTAACTGTCAAAATAAGTTATAAATATAAGTAAACAGTTGATAGTCTTCAAAAAAGGTAAGAAACATTCTTAAAATGGTATGATACGGTTTTTTTTGGCTATTGAATAGCAAGTATTTATATACAGAAGGTATATACTTACAAGAAATCATTTAAGAAAATAAAATATTTATTTAAAAGATATTGCTTATACATCGAGACATTGTATTAGTAGTTAAATAATGCAACTTTTATATATTTTTATTTTTGAGGGTATTTTTAAATATTTATTTTTTTTTTGTAACCTAACCGATCTTTAAATTATGTAATTTGTAATATCTGGCGTAGGTATATTATTATATCAATGCCTTTTATTTAAGCAGTTCACAAGAGTACGATGAAAATTTTAACTTTAAAACTATTTTAAATAAATAAGCATGAAATATAGCACAAGTAGAAGTTGGAAAGGCTTTTGCCAGTTCTCCCACTTTATATATATAAATTGACAGGTTTGGACGCGATACATTGGCGTAAAAAATTATTTTATATATGATAATAACAATTTCGAATATAGTTTAATAAATTGTGAATAGCTGTTGACATTTTCTAAAATTATGATTTGTATATTATAATACATGTTCAATAATTATTTATAGTCCATAAATACATGCGATTGTCCAGTTCCTCCGGTAACAATTTAAAATTACTTATTCTATGAAACGACACTGGCAGGTAAACATTACTGCGAAATTCTCGAAACCGTCCGACGTGTTTGACGTTTACCCCCTCTCTACCTACCAAAAGCCTTTCCAACTTCTACTTGCGCTTTAACAGAATACCTACACAGGAGGTCCCGTATACTTGCAACGAAAAACTTTTAGGGGTGGTAGGAGACATCAAACTAAACTTTTTTTGGCACGCCTATGCACATTTTGAATACATGCATGAACGCCGCCACACGAGGGCAGGGAGGGGAATTTTCCCCCCTGGATTTGTGATTTTTCACCATGGATTTCGACTATAGCCTATGCGGCGTTTTGATCCCGCCTATGACTTGTACCCTGGACATTTTTTAAACGGCGCACACTGGGGCAACAAGCCATCAAAGTTGGCAATAAATCACAGACTTTCTTTATGAATTTGTTAAGTTAAATATTGCTTTGTAGAGGTGATGAAAATACATAGAGGGCTTATAAAGTGTTTGTTTGCTAAAAAAATAGAAAGTTATTAAGAATATAATATAATAAAAATGTATATTCTATTCTTAATATCTTTCTATTTTTTTTTTTTAGAATATAAACACTTTATAAGTCCTCTATGTATTTTCTTTTGTAATACTAACATATAATATATTAAAAATATCATGAGCCTAATGAGGCCTAAGTGACGCGGGGGTAATCCACTCTCCACACGTTAAAGATACAGATAATAAAAATGTAATATTATAATAATTTTATTTAGAAAAGCTATGATAATTGTAATCAAATTTCATCCTCTTTAGAATGTGATAAGACATTTTCTTCATCGTCTCCACGGTCATCATCAGATTCATGAATATACCATGGCTGTGAAGCTGGACGAGTCCAGATTTAAACAAATCTACTGCTTCTTTAGGAAAGTGCTGCAGGTTCTTTCTTTTTTAATTTTTGTTTGCTCGTGATTACAAGGTCGAAACTAAGTAAAAACGAATTACAGACGTCCCCATTAGTTTTCTCTGTTAATTGGTCTCTAGGCAACAAAGCAGAAGATATTATTTCAGGCCCATGTATAAAGTATTTGTGCAATATCGGAGGCATATTGACCGTGGGTGCTTTTCAACAAAGTATCTAGCGGTGTTGTGAGCAAATTCTATTAATTTCATTCTTCTCATAATATTAAGAAGTTTCTTTCTCGATAAAAACATAGTGGTCGGAAAGTATATTTACATACCTACCAAATCAGACCCATTGAGTCCAAATCGGTCAAAAACTAAAATAGCAGCGTTGCAAAGCATAATGTGTTATTATAGGCTTCTATGAAAACATAAAAACCAGACAACTTTGATTGTCTATATCTTACGATTGAATCTACCAATCGTGCTCGGAGAGGTCTTAAAATAAAGAAAATAGGTTAGATATTTAACTTTTGTTATTAGATTTAATATTTAATTTATAATTATTACGAAAAATGAGCTTAAAATGGGTTACTTTTAGGCTCGTTTTTTTTTCTTCAATTAGGTCGGCCATCTTAATTTTTTTTCATTTCTAGCATTTTGTTATGTCTGTCTGGGAGCATATTTAGTTGCCTATAAAATGAGCCTAAGGACAATAAAATCGATTTATTAATACACGAAATATATTAAAAAAACAGAATTCTTTTTTGGATGATCGTCCCGCCATATATTTATATACTTTGAAAAAACCCAAATAGTGAAGAAAAGTGCAAATAAACTAAACAATTTCAAAAAGTACAAACAATATTCATTATGAAAAGTCGAAATTTAAAGCTTGGACTGCTTTGGAACACAACAAATAGCCTTCATGTATTTAAGAATATTTTAAAATTTTAACGTTTAACCTTCATTTTACTTAACCCCAATATTATAAGATTACGTTTATTTTTCTAAAACTTTTTACTTATTAAAATAATAATACATAGCTGAACTTAAAGGCTCCATGGCGGAAATTTGAAAAAAAAAAATCAAAATACAGCCTAACAAAAAACTACGAAATAACAATGAATATATACTCGCCTCAGATAAGTAACTTCGACTGAAGGTGGCGATGAAACGCGTGAGACAGAAGATCGCACTTGTTCGTTTTATTATGTAGTGGACAGTAATATATCAGAAAAAAATATGAGGTAGAGTGTATATGCTATTTAATTTTTCTATTTATTGCTAAGTTTGAGGGCTTGTTGCCCCAGTGTGCGGCGCCCATGGATACACTCTATATATTACAAATATTTTTTTATTTAACTAAGTATTTCAAAAAACGAAGCGTTTTCGGACATATTATATGTTTATTACGAAAAAAGTGTTTACCGCCCCTAAAAATATGTAGGTATTTTAGGACATTCATATGTACATGTAAAACAACAACGGGTTCTTGAATAAATAGATTTAGTTACAAATTCCGTATTATTATGGTAAATTAAAAGTAATTCGGCCAATCACCGAATCAAATCATTCTTAAAAAATATTAATTTTTTTCAGATATTGTAAACACGATTTGAAACATTTTATTTTAAAGCAGAAAGACAATGAACCTAATTCAATCAAAAATATTATCTTCAATAATTCTTGGACTATCCAGTATTTTTGTGGGTATATTACCCAACTGTATCGCTCAACAAGGGAGAAGACAGTGGCCCCTATTTTTGTCTAGTCTCTTATGCTTTGGTGGTGGAGTCCTACTGTCAACATCTTTGGTGCACATCTTGCCAGAATTAAGAGAGTCAATACCCGAGTATTATCAAGGATATACAGAAATTGTATACTGTTTGGGATTTTTTATTTTGTACATAATAGACGAGATAGTTCATTTTTTATATGGGGGTACAGAGGAGGCAAATATCCTACATAACCACGGTCTCCATAATGCGCCTCAACAAAATAATAGCAGACGCCATTCGGAAGCTCCAAACCCACCTGTAATTTACGGAGCTACAGAAAGACGGTCTCTGTTGCTTACAGACAAACAGATGGCATATAATCCATCTTTCTACAAGGCTCAGAGTGACAGTGCACTCTTTTGTGAACAACCACCTTCGCAGCTATGCCATGTGGGACATCAGGAACCTTGTCATGCAGCTCCTACATCTAATATTGGACTTCTAGCTGCTCTTTCAGTTCATGCTTTACTTGAAGGATTAGTTGTTGGACTGGAGACAAAACCCGATAAGGTTAGAATAATCGAACAATTTTTTTCAGTTTCATGCAATAGCTATTTATGTAACCAGTACGAAATGCCTTATTTTATGTAACGAGCTGGAGGAGTAGAGCGAGGTCCTGAAAAATGAACGAATTACACAAAAAGATATTTCGTAACATGTTACACATACAATATTTTTTTTCTAATTTTTACTAAATTATTTATAAAATTTTGTTTAGTAAAAAATTACTAACCATAATTTGTTGTACTTCCAATTAAAGATTTTAGAACATGAACATTTGGAAAATTGTTGCATTTTATATAATTTGATTTATTGAGTACGATATGGTGTACAGAAAACAATAAGGGCCCTTTATGTCTAAAGGTCAATTTAATTGAGATATAAAGGATCCTTATTTTCTTTACACCTTGTACTCAGTCCCACAATCACTCACATATGGCTACCCTCCCGCTAAATTTAATTAATTTGAATGAACACAAGTAGTTATTTCAAATATTTTTTAAAATGAAATATATTAATATATGAGAATTATAATAAAATTGTCTATCTATGTAGCTAATATTACTTTCATGCATTGTTAGCTGGATATTTATAAAAATAGAAAATCATATAATTTATTCTCAATCCTTGTGGTGTTTATCTATTTTTAAAGTTTTTTGTTCTCAAGGAAGTGGGTTATTTTATCGTGTATTGAGTGAATTAGTGTTTTGATTAATTTGTGCTTATTTAGCATGGAAACTAGGGACCAGAACAGAATTATTACTAGGTTATTAGTACACTAACAAAATCTATTTTTATATAGCCAAGCTCCTTCCTAATTCCTTTCGATTTAAACTTTCAAAAACAATATACAGGTATATTGATTTTAAAACCAAAAAAGATTTCGTTTTGTTTTACTTTCACAACTGGTGAAAATGACTTTTTCATAACCAGATAATATTTATGTAACTGGTTACAATCATTTTAACTCTTGCTGCGATTGCAAAAAATGTTACTTTTTATGTCAAAATTAGAAAAAACAATTATTTGATGTCACTAGCCATTATTTTTACAGCACTGCTTGACTTTATACCTTTTTGTATCTGTATATTTACAAAAGTAAATTTAAAAAAATAGTATTTTTAGTGTAGTGTGTTTTTATATTTACTAATATTCTTTCACTAACTTTTGATGAGGTAAACAATGTAGCTCTTCCAAGATAAAAAAATAATAGGTTTATTTAGCAAATATTGAAAATACACTCTTGGAAAAAAGTAATGCAATAATTTTGTCCAGAACAGGTACATGTTGTTTCATTATTTAGTTTATGTTAAATCTCTTGTTAATATTTAGAATAGGTTCTTTCGTTCGTCCCATTGATGTAGGAATGAATTACACCAACGGACGCTATACCTTTCGTTTGGCCCAGTGTAAAATACACTACACCTTCCTGTCGGCGATGTGGTATCCATTGGTGCAGGGTTGCCAATCTGTGAGTAATTCCTCACATTTGTGAGTAATTTACTAGTATGTGAGTAATTTTGTGAGTAAAGGGCAATTGTGAGTAATATGTGAGTAATCGGGAAGTCTTTTTAAAAATTTCAATATAAGCCTTATTTTACCCCCAGCACTTTTAGCAGTCATTACAATTTTATAGTTTTAAAATTGCAACGTCCTCTATTGCTTGGTCAATGTAATAGAGTAAAAGTGATTTTGATATTTTACACTAGGTTTCTTGTCGATAGTGATATCTTTTTTTTTGTTCGTTTTAAAAGTATATTTTTTTATTAGTAGATTTTTTTAAGTATTAGAAATAATGATTTATTATGAATTGGCCCGTTAATAAAGAAGCTACTCTGATTCTCCAATCTTTTTTATCTGTGTTTTTTGTTCAGCTGATGACAAAGATGTTTTATATACAGAGTGATTTATAACTATTGGGACATAGGCTAAGGGCAAGTTATTTGTATCAAAATATGGCGATAGGGCCAAATATACCTTAATAATATATTGCTGTAGAATAAGATACAGGGCATTAAATAATAATAATAGTAATAATAATAGACCATTATCTAACAGCAAATTATTTGACAATGCAAAGCAAACTTTTCATAAATGAAACATTTTGTGAGTTGTTCAATTGCGTTTTTCTCGAAAACGGGTGAAATTTTCTAATCAAAAATATTAAAAAGTTTCGTAAAAAAAGCTACCACTTAATTTCATCATCACATATCATTCACGTGGCGCCTCCTGTAACAAAATGTGAAATAATACATAAAATATTATTCCTTATCGAAAAATATGCCTTTGTGCCAATTTTGATATCAATTCATTCAGATATACAGTGACATCAGAAAAATTTAATGCACTGTATCTTATTCCACAGCAATATTTTATTAAGGTATATTTGGTCCTATCGCCATATTTTTGTCCAAATAACCTGCCTTACCCTATGTCTCAATAGTTATGAATCAACCTGTATATTACTTGGTTATAAAAATAGTGAATGCACAGAAAAAAAGGTGCATCTGTTTTGACTCTTGAATGTTCTGAAAATTTCTCTTTTAATGTTTGGCAACATTGCACGGTAGTAAAATAAATTCAAACCAAAGTACAAGAGTACAAAATGTACAATTTATATAAAAAAAACTATTGATATTTTGAAGTTGTGAGTAATTGTGAGTAATCCGGAAAAGTTTTTGAGAGTAAATCGGTAAAGGCAGGTTGGCAACCCTGCATTGGTGTCCACCAGGGGGGTTATTTTCAAACTCGAGAGAAAGGAGTGCTCTATTGAGAGAAAGGAGTGTTCTATCGAGAGAAATGTAGTATGTGACTTGGCCTTGTACACACATCGGTTATGGGTACACACATGGAGGAAGGGTACACACGCCCCTAATCACGTGGTCAAATTCTCCTGAGAATATGAATTCTCTCGAAATAAACCGAGAGAAAAGGTCAGTGAGTAGTCATGAGGTAGTCACTGGTTTTCAAAATACAGTTTGCACGTTGACATATGACATTTCTCCTGAAATCTTGAGAGAAATGAGTACTCATACGGTTTGAAAATAGGTCCCCAGCTATTTAGCAGGAGCAAGTAAACTAGGTAAATAAGGTGGTGCAATTAACATTGGTGCACACTGCACCAACACAGCGAGCGAAAGAACCTAAGTTGTATATTCTACCTTTGTACTTCTGTATTTTCATCTAAAATTATTTAGGTACCACCTTATTTTCTTTTTCAGGTTTTACTTCTTCTAGGAGCCATAGCCTCTCATAAGTTGGTGGTATCTTTTTGTTTGGGTATGGAATTAGCGTCAAATTCCTCATACACGTTCCTGAGGAATTTTGTTTGCATTCTGATATTTTCTGCAGGATCAGTAGCTGGTATTATTATAGGCATGGTGATTTATGACGTACCTGGTGGAGTAAAAAATATTGCCATACCAATATTACAGGTAATAAAAATATTTACGACTGTGAATGTATATGTTACAATAAATACTCGAATTCGGGTATTGCCCGAAAAAAATGTGCAAAACTAATTTTTCATAACGAATAATTCCCAAACCGGGGAGTGGGTGGCTCAGTGGTAGAGTCTCTGCCTGTGGATCCAAGGATCCCAGGTTCGAATCCCACCGTTGGCCGGGATTTTTTTATTTAATTTAATTATTTAAAATTAATTCTGATGCCTTGGTAGGATTCCCCACTCGACCATTCACTGTTGGGTTCTAATTAACAGTGCTGTTCCTGAAGTGGCGCTGGGAAACAGTAACAAAGCCTACACAGAACACACATGATTGAGAATTAAAAAAAAAAAAACACAAACTTGAGACTGGCATATTAGGTATATACACCTAGGCCATAAATCGAAAAAAAAAAAAATTCCCAAACCCGAAATTGTACTCTTGTACGGCTATTGAGCGTTACAAAATAGGTAAGCAAAACTAGTTTTGTATATATTTGAATGTTCAATACTAGTTCTACTTGTTTTATTTAATCAACGTATGAAGAAGTAGGTAGGGTGGTAGTAGTAGTAAATAACCTTAAATTCCTAACGTGCTTGTCTTTGGTCTTTGCTTTTTATCATTTTAATTTTCAAATTAAAAGTTTAATGTTCCTAAGTATTTGATTCTATTAATGGTAATTATTTAACATTTTTATTCGTTTCTTTAACATACAATTTGAGCTGTGTCCAGGCTGTTAGAGTCTATGCCGGTCGGCGTAGCCCATGATACTATTACTCGAGATTAAACCCACGCGCATGCGATCAGCCCATCTCTCTCGCAAGATTGACGTCACTGGGAGACTACCCGACTCAGCAACAGCCAGTTTTATACGGCGCAAAGCAGATTTGCGTGTATTTTAAATTCTGTTTATTAAATAGGGATATGAAAAATCCAAAGTGAGGAAGAGAGAAATGACAAAAATTGTAAAATAAATTAAAAGTGTAAATTTGTGAATATTTGTCCTATACAAATTAAGTACTTAATAAATTGTTTATCATTTAAAAAACATTTACCGCCTTCCAAAATCCCAAAAAAATACTACTGCAAATTGAATCAATACATCCAAATTTCTGTTGCTGTTTACTTTTAACTAATTATTACTTGTTTATCCAAACATTTTCAATTTTTACCCTTCCTTTATTACATTCATCCGTAATTTTTATAAAAATATTAAATTGATTGTAAAATGAAAAGTCTATACTTTAGAAGCTCTAAAATAAGATTTAACTTTAATTTTTTTTCAAATATTTTAAATTTTTACCCTCTCCTCTTTTTACCCCTACCTGTAATTTTTTTTATCAAATCACTAAAAGAATTTTAAAATTAGAATAGTATGAGACAACTCGATTTTTTAAATATTTTAAATTTTTACCCCTCTCCTTTTCACTCTTTTTCTAATTATCTGTTAAAATATTAAACGGATAATAAAATCAAAATGTCCATAGCCAAAAACCTATATAACGACATATTACTCGATTTTTTACGAAAAATTGCAATTTTTTATCATTTTCCCAGACATTTCAGCCCCTTCCCCTTTACCAATTTTACTAAAAAATATTCCAATTCGACCCCTAATGGAATAACACCTATCTATAGCGAAATTCCTTTAAAAGTTATGGTGAATACCGACAGACAGACATTTTTTTTGCTCATAATACTTTTTTTACACGTTTTGGGACAATTTAAGATGATTAGACAAGCCAAAAAATACTTAATTTAATAATATATCAATATTATAAAAATAATATATCGATATTTTAATAAATAAACATAAAATATTGATTAAAACCGCTCTAGCGTAATGCTTTTCCATGCCCACGAGCTGGATTTTTGTCATCGGGTGACGTCATGCGCAAACGTGGTCGAAATTGAATCGTCAAGTGGGCTTATCTTCTCGAGTAATAGTATCATGGGCGTAGCCAGGTATGGGTTGAAATGTTATGGTGGCGGCTTCGCCGCCAACCTACGAGATGTTTTCGTCTTCTTTTTGTATATTTTTTTCTGATTCTATATCACTGTTAGTTTGCCAAGGAAATATACGTTGTGGTGATTTATAATATATCACATTTCACATCCCGAAGAAAACTATATTAAAAGTCATAATTTATAATTTTTGCTTTATTTAGAAACAAAACTCTCTAGGGGTTTACTCTAACACAAAGAACTAGTACATAACTAGTATTGATCATTCAAATATATAGGTACAAAACTAGTTTTGCGCAATTCAAAATGTGCAAAACTTTAGTTCTTTAAATTATTTTCTTTAAAAGTTTCTTAAATTATTTTTGCACCTATTTTATAGGTGATGAACCTGTATATGCATATTACAAGATTGTTTATAAAGTTAATTCACTTTTCCTTGGTAATTTAAGAGTCCGTTTAAAGAAATGTTAATAGTTCAAAATTAATTTAAAATTAAATTTAAAAACCAAAAATTAAAACTAAAAATAGGTAAACATATTATTTAATAATTGAAGACACAAGTGGATAAAGGTGTCATGTGACAAAAAGATTATTTCGAAAAAAATAAGTTTAAAGTTTTACAATTGCATTATGATATTTGGCTCATGATACCTTCCTGTCTGATAAAAGCCGTTATTTATCAATTTTGAAAATCAGAACTATAACAAACAAAAATATAGTATATTAGGCCATAAAAATAATTTTTTGAAAAAATGTGACATGACACCTTTATCCACTTGTGTCTTCAATTTAATTTGAAAATTGAAATAAAACATTACAGTAATGCTAAGATTTAGGTGTTACTTAAAAGGTTTAGATAGTTGGAAGTTTGTAGCTATATGACAATTTATTGAAAACTGCCTTTATTTAAATTTCTGATATCTAAAGGCAACATTATGAGGCAACATATTATAGATTTTTGGTGCAAGATTTCTTGAAAATCTATGAGTCGCGTCTCTTTGACAGTAAGGTACAATTAGATTTTTGTCTCGTATTATAACCGTGTGAAATGACATTCTTTAGATTATTTCTTTTATGAATAAGGAGGCAACATTTGTGTTTTTGTAAAATATTATTTTTAGCAAACGATTTTGAACCACTGACAGGGGATATAATGCGTTATAATGGGTTCTGACATGTACAACTTCGGGTTTGGGAAATATTTGTTGCCCAATGCTAGTATTCCACATTTTTTTTTTTCGGGCAATAACTAAATTCGAGTATTGAACGTAACATATATTTCGTATTAAAATGTTTGCAATATTTTTAATTTCGACCATTCCCTTATTTGAAATGTATCGAAATTTCACACTTAAATTTCTGTAAATATGTACATATGTTCTGAATGTATAATTTATAAACTAAAAAACTCATAGATCATAATAAAAATAAATGATACATTTTATGGAATTCTACGAAGGCGTAAAAGGGCCAGATAATATATTTTTTTAATTTCGACTTTAAACTCGAAATTTCGACTTTAAATTCGAAATTTCAACTTTAACCTCGAAATTTATACTTTAAACACGAAATTTCGACTTTTAACACGAAATATCGACTTTAATATCGAAATTTCGACTTTAAACTCGAAATCTAAAAATCTCGGGATTTCGACTTTAAACTCGGAATTTCGACTTTTAACTCGAAATTTCCACTTCAAAGTCGAAATTAATCTTGTCAGAGGCTATACACGATGGGTATATTTTCTTTAATTCTTCCAAAGTGTATAGAAGCCTTATAGAGCAAATCCAATTTTTAATCCTTGGTATTCCAGGTTATCAAAATGATTTTTGAAGTTGATTAATAAATAAACATTCATACATCCGCTGAGACACGATTGTGTCTGTGTGCGGGGAAGCATAATAATAATAATTAATAATAATAAATAATAACAATAATAATACTAATGTAATAACTATAACTACAATGATACATAAAGATAATAAAAAAATAAAATTAATTAAAACTGGCTAGATAAAAATTTGCAGTCTGTTATATTTTTTTATATTTATATTTATTTTCCACACAATCTTAAACAAAACAATGGTTAAAATCTGTTAAAACTGTTAAAATATTTTGTACACAATCGAGATTAATTAATTAATTAATAATAATTTTAGGAATAACTACATATATCTAAGTTTTATATATGAACATCATGGATTCATTATATTTTGAAAAAATGTTGCACCTGTACTTTGTATCCAATATTTCACATTTTTCTTGTAAATATAGTACGAAGCTGAGTTTCTTATGTGTTCAGGTAGGCAATTAAGTAATTTTGTGCTTATATACATGGGACTGCGTTGACCCATGGTTTTTTCACATTTTGGTAGTAAGTATAGATTTTTTGTTCGAGTTTCGTATTGATGTGTTTGTGTTTGCAATTCTGGCCTACGTTTATAGATGTTTAACAAAAGTCGTAATGCATATAGAATCAAGAATTTGGCTCTCTTTGTACAATTTATCACTTGGGTAAGTTTTATTTTTTTTATACATTAATTTTATAATCCATTTTTGTATAACGTTAATATTTTTTAGGTAACATTGATTGGTGCTACCCCATCCAATTATACCGTAGGTTATTTGTGATTGGATTAGTGAAAAATAAATTGTTCGAAGATGCCTGATGTCTAAATAATTCGATAAAAATTTAAAACGTGACAGAAAACCCCTAATTTTTTGTACAACATGGTCAATATGATAATTCCATCTTAGGTGACGGTCTAAAATAACTCCCAAATATTTAATTGTAGGCTGTTCGGAAAAGGAAGATGAATCGCTTACTTTTAGCGGACCAAGATTGGGTAGGCTACTTACGTATGAACAAAAGGGTAAGTATTTAGTTTTTTCAATATTAAGAGTAAGTTTGTTATATTGAAACCATTTCATTATTGTTTGCATTTCTAATTCAGCTGTTGTTTTTAGTGAATCCCAAGTTTTTCCCTTGTAAAGGATGGCTGTGTCATCTGCAAAGCTAATAACAG